GTGGAAAGAAGGCAAAGTACCCGAGGATTGGAAGAAAGGATACCTATTCAAACTACCAAAGAAAGGAGACCTAAGTCAATGCAAGAACTGGCGCGGAATTATGCTCCTTTCCATCCCAAGCAAAATACTAAGCCGCATCATCCTGGAAAGGATCAAACAAGCCTTGGATGAAAAACTTCGACCAGAACAAGCTGGATTCAGGAGTAACAAGTCATGTATTGATCAAATCGCCACACTACGGATCATCATTGAACAAAGTTTGGAATGGCAGTCACCTCTCTATCTCAACTTCATCGACTTTCAAAAGGCCTTCGACAGCGTCGATCGAGAGGTGATTTGGCAACTACTTCGCTACTACGGGGTGCCGCCGACAATTATACATCTCATCCAACAGTTGTATGACAACGCTACATGCCAAGTAATCCACAACGGGAAGCTCACGGAATCCTTCGAAGTGAAGACAGGAGTAAGACAGGGTTGCCTACTATCGCCAATGATTTTCCTGATTGCAGTAGACTGGATAATGCGACAAACAGCGGGCAATGAGGAAACAGGCATAAAATGGACTCACACAAAGAACTTGGAGGATCTGGACTTCGCCGATGATATATGCCTGATTTCCCACAAACTGGAAGATATGCAAGTGAAAAGTAACAAGTTGGCAGAAGAAGCATCAAAGATAGGACTCCAGGTGAACATAGAAAAAACAGAGGTGATGAAGATCCCTGGCCAACACCACCAACAACAACAGACAGCAATCAGCATAAATGGAAAGAACCTGAAAGAAACTACCTCCTTTACCTACTTGGGAAGCATTGTTTCAACTACAGGCGGAACTGACGAGGATATCAAAGCAAGGATCGGGAAAGCAAGGCAAGCTTTCATTACTCTGAAGTCTGTGTGGAGGACAACATCATTCAGCGTCAAAAATAAGATCCGGATTTTCAACTCCAATGTGAAGTCAGTACTACTATACGGATCAGAGACTTGGCGTGTCACAAAGAGCACCTCAAACAAGCTACAGACCTTCATTAACAGATGTCTTCGCTCAATACTCAAGATCAGATGGCCGGAAAGGATCAGCAACAAAGATCTCTGGGAGCGAACCAACCAGGAACCCATTGTGAAACAAATAGGCAGGAAAAAATGGAGATGGATTGGCCACACTCTGAGGAAACCAGCAAGTGACATCACTAGACAAGCCCTCGAGTGGAACCCGAAAGGGAAGCGGCGAGTTGGTCGTCCAAGGGTGACCTGGAGGAGATCATGTGAAGAGGAGATGAAAGCATATGGGCAGACCTGGAGCCAGGTGAAAACTCTAGCAGAGAATCGAACGCAATGGAGACGCATGGCTGAAGCCCTATGTTCCTCTAGGAACTAAAGGAAATAATAATAATAATAATCGAGTTTTAGTTTTCAGGGATTTGATTCAATTGGGTTTGGATGGCAGTTACGTTTTATTTCGGGAGCTTCTTTTAGAGGTTAGAATTCATGCGTCATTGGATTCCGACTAGTTGAAGAAAAAATGATCAACGGAGTGAAGTTGTAACCTGGCGATCCTGATGGAATCATTAGTGCGTACTGCCCAGGAGTCCACAAGTGGGATAAGACGCGCATAGTGGATTTCACTGCAACCTCTTGTTATCCTGTAGACGACTTCGAAGTATCTACACTAGGAAGTGATATGTTAGTAGAACCAGTAGAACTAAGGGAGTATGAAAAAGATTTCTAGTACTCCGTCTCTCTCACTTTTTTTCCGTTCTCTCAGTGGTTGCCTATTTGACGTAAATTTATGATCTAATCAATTGAATCCCTGTAAACCGAGCGAAACAAACAAAGATAAATTTCATTATGGATAAGATTTTATTTTCATAAATCACACAGTGTTATACAGTACAGTAATATTAACTGATGACCTCGATTCGACCATAAATTATTGCCACTCATAATCTTATCAAGGCACTCACACAACTTTCACGCTTCATTTATATTCATGAGTGAAATTGATGATTAGACATTTGAATAAAAATCAATATGAGATAATGTACATTCAGAAATAATAATACGAGTGTTATCAATGAAATACAATCAGATGGGAAATAAGACGAGTGTCTTTAATAGTCAAAATAAGTAACTTGTTACAATGTTATGATGTACGTGAATTGAAATAGAATACAATTTAAGATTATTTATTATCCTCCTCCGATTTGACTGACTGACTGGTGGTAATAATATCTTCCATGAATATCTTTGTTACTTGCATTGAGTCATTTCTGTTGCATGTGTTTTGAACCAGTATTCAGTAATCAATCCCTCTCTCTCTCACCTAATTGTATGGTTTTGTGTTAATGCATGCAGTGCAGTCACTGAGTTTGTTTTCTAAATTCCTTATCTTCTCGGGGTCAACCATTCTTACCTTAGCTAAATTCTTTTGTTCCGACAATCTGACTAACCCCGATCTACTAGTTTGACTTATGTAGTTGAAGCAACTAACAGTCATTACAAGGTATTTTGTAAATTATATTATTTTGTTTAATTGGGTCAACCTACAGTGTCCTTTAGCCTATCGAGCTTGTTCTACCTGAGTGAGTTTGTCGGTTTGAATGCCAACCAAATTCCTGCTTTATTAGATAAGAATCCTACGTAGGGTCTCAGATGTCCCCTCCTTATATGGTAGAACTGTAGATAGATGCCTTATATTCTTCCTTATTAATATTATCATTATTAGTTCCATCATTATTTTTGTTTTGCTTTTGACTTTTTCTGACCTTCCTAATGGATTTTATAGAATAGTTATTCATTTAACATCAAAGCTTTCTCTCCTTTTATCTGTTTTATTTCATCATTTAGGTGTTTTCGTTGTACTTGGTTTGTTAGACACTTAACTAAGTCTACCTTCACAGATAACTACGGATTAAAGTCTAAATATCTATTAGAATGCGTTGACTTTTTATAAACACTAGTGTGTAGTTTGCCTTCTTCCATTCGTTTTATTTTAAAATCTAACCCCATAGCTAATTCTCCTTGTTCATTTTCCGTTTCAAACGTGAATTTTATTCCCTCTACTAGTGAGTTTACATGTGTCAAGAAGCTAGAGGTATCTTCTGCTTTTAATACGGTGAAAATGTTTTCCACATATCTCCACTATATTTTTGGAGTAGAATTAAATATACTAAGTGCGGTATTTTCCCAGCTATCCATAAATATATCTGCTACGATAGGGGATATTGGTGATTCATCCCATAGGTGCACCCCATCTGTTTGTCTATAGATTTTGCCTTGGAATTTAAAGATAGTAGATGTGAGGCATAACTGAATTTCTAAAATAATTTCTTCAATGGGTAATTTCGTCCTATAAGTGAATTCAGGGTCTGCAGTTACTTCTCTTTTAACTACTTCTAAGGCTACCATATTGATTGGTATATTTGTATAAAGACTAGTTATATCAAAACTAACCATTGTTTCATCATTCCCTAGTTGAATGTCATTTAGTTTATTTTTCATCTCATATGAATTAGTTAGCCTAGAGTTTGAATGATTTCTAATGGGACATATTATTATTAGAGCTAAGTGTTTTGATAATTCATAAGTAGTGGTATTTCTGAAATCTACTATTGGTCTTATGGGGTAACCTGGCTTATGTATTTTAATAGTACCATACATTCTATTAGCATTATTAGTTTCAGGCATTAAATTATGATATGATTATGCGCAATGATTTGTGCTCGAAACGTGTTCATCACTAAATATCACTGTACAGCACTGTGTGATTTATCAAAATAAAATCTTATCCATAATGGAGTTATACTCTATCTACCACAATGCCAAAGCTTTATACTTATATCAATAAACATAAATTTCGTTTTTAGTATTCGAGAACCACAGATATTTGTGGGTGGAAATTGACAAATTGAGTCGAGACACAGATCTTTACACAAAAATTCTGTAGTTCAACTTGCTACACTCTTTCTTTGTAGTACATGAAGGTAGTAAAAATAGAATCAAAAAGATTATAATGAACAGTGGCGTCGAAAAGCAATGGGAACTCGATGGATCTGGGAAAGTGCAAAGAATCATTGCGTCTGAGCCATTGAGAACGTTCATTTTGAGTCACATCAACAATAGTCCCCAGCTCTTGGATCATAGCATCCCGTGCACCTCAACCAGCCAGAGAGGACACACCTATCTATCAAAGAATTCGTGAACTGATGCCACAGTAAAGTTCGTTAAACTCCAAACTAGACGGTTTCTCCAAATTATGAGGGTCACCTTTTCAACAGTAACCTTCTAGATCATTTCAATGAAAATTATTTTATCAGATCAGTTCAATCAATGAACTAGTTTATTCAACTATTTATTTTCAAGTATTGATTTTTGTAGAGATTTCTTTTAGTTTGATTGGTTGGAGGATTTCATGATGAGCTGACATAAGTTAGAGAGCCATTTGACAACTGTTTAGTCCTAGTTTGGAACTTTCCATCAGTACGCACCCACCGCTGGAGTTCGCATCCAGGACCTTCTGTTTACAAGACGAGCTTGTACACCTAAAAAGCCAATACTCGAAAATCCATCTGATGCTCACTAGCAACTGGTACTATTCAGGCGGTTAACCTGGGATTACTAGTGGGAAGCGGTGATCAGTAGGGTGCAGCAGGTTGAGGGTGAGGTAGTAACTCACCGAAGAAGACATTGGGAAGTGGTTGCGCTATCTCATGAATTGGCAGAAGTTAAAATTCATGGACTGGCCGTCGGATAGGATCCCAATAGCTCAATGGTCTACGAACTCGCCAGCCATGTGGCCAGAAGGTCCTGAGTTCCGACCCCACTGTGGTGTGGGTGCGTACTGATGAAAAGCCCCAAACTAGTCTGACGAAACAGCTGTCCAGTACTCCCTGATTGGCTTTCCAATGGTTCGCTATCTGAAATCAGCTCATGATGAAATCCTCCAACCAATTATTTATTTATTGATTATTCTTATTGTTATTTTTAATTTTCCACAGATAACAATTTTAAATCACATTCAGAGAGCAGTCAATTAAAAGCTAATGAAACGAATAGTGATACATTGTGCGCGGTAGGTTTAATTCTTATAATAATTCGAAGTGTTTATATTTTTCCTATCGAAATTTAAATTGCGTATATGATTATTCTTCTCTATATTTGTACTCTTTTTCCTTTCTAGTGGAATATAGGGCTTCAAGCTTGAGTTTTGAAGTTTCCGTAGCAGTGCTTTTCATGGGGTAGTATTGCTAGTCTACACCTAACCTTCCACCGTTACCGGGCTTACTACTAGCTGAGGGCGTCATCTGACAGTCGGATCCGCACTACGCACACTGTTGGCGACTGTTCTACGACTGATACGTCGACGCATTTATATCAAGTGTTAGCTTGTGGGGGTTTGATTGCTTACAGGATTTATAAAGAGCTGACATCAGTTAGAGAACCATTGGAAAGCCTGTCAGGGAGCACTTGACAGCTGTTTTATCTCAGTTTGGTACTCCTCACCAGTATGCAGCCGTCGGGGTCGAATACAGGACCTTCTGATTACGGAGCGAGCCTGCGATCAATTAAATTCCTGCAAACTATTTCTTGACAATTATATGAAAAAGAGAAGACATTCAGCGAAGAGACTCTTTTCGGTGGCGAATTCATTCACATAGCTGTACAATCGCATTTATATACAATTGTTTGTGTGTGTGTGTACATGAGGTTTGTCAAGTTTAGATAATTAATTAGGTAATACAAGAATGACCAAATATAGAAACAAGTTTAATTAGCCAGCTACTAAAGTAAGACTAAAATGTTTCAACTTAGGTCAGAGTAGCAACAGAGGTAATTACAGGTAGAGACTAAGTAGAGGTAGGGTAGAGAATAATGCCATTTAAATCAAGACTAAAATTGAGCATATAAGTTGGATGACGTAACATAAATGACTAGAAATTGAGCGTTTATCAAGTCAGTAACAGTGGTAGTGATGTGCCGAAATTAAATCGGATGCGGGTAGAGAACAGGAAAGTTTAAAATGTAAAATATTACAACTGAAAAGACAAAATAATACTGATGAAGAGACATAAGAAAAGATTAGGTAGAATTCACTTGTCGGCTAATAAGACAGATTACGTCCATTGCAAGTGTAGTGATTGAAGGAACTTCTTCTGTATGGAGAGTTCAGGGCTTAGCAAGTGAATCGCCATGGCTTCCGTAGTTTGAAGAAGTCTGATTCGTACTTGATAATTAATCGGATGCTCACTGATGATCTGCCCTGTACAGGAAGTTACCTGCAGTTGTAGTGAGAACTCGTAACCAGTGGGGCCCATCAAGTCTTGCAAAAGAATATTTACTCGCCTATGACACAGGCTAGTGGTTGCGCTACATATATACCTCTAATCTCACCTAATTTCGCCTAGAATCTTAAAAGAACTACACCCTGCACTTATCGCCCAATCATAGTACCTTTAAAACTTTCCACTATCTGTTTAGCCTGAACCCTCATTGGTTACTAATTTTTTAACTTTAATAGTGAATTTACTTTTCGTCCGGGACATTCAGCCGTTCTTGGAGATCATAAACGCTGTCTTATCAACTTTCGGTTTTCTCTTTTGCTTTCACGTGCCGATGGTATTGTTACCTTTGTTGTGGGGCATCTTGTGATAAGCTGTTGGAATTGTGATACTAATATTGATATTAATATTATTATTATTGTTATCATTCATCCCTGGGATTCCTTGTGGAATGTAGGGCTTCACTAGCCCATCTGTATTTCACTCTCCTCTCTGATGTCTTCTTTAGCTAGCATCATAATGTCCAAAAGCCGTCGTCTTCTCTTCGAATAACCCGTCGATCCCATTCAGGTTCTCCTTGAGGACCTGATGTATGGTGCCACTCAGTGGTCTCTTTAGCGAATGTCGAGTTGCATGCCCATTTCCTCCCACATATTTGCTGAGTTATAGGTCCTTGGTTGGTTTGTTCTCAGAGTTCTGTGTCAATTAGCTTTTACAACCGCCTATCTAATCTTCGTTATGATATATAAAAAGTTTGCGGTACTTTAATCCACAGTCTTAAAGCAATTTTAAAATCATTTCGCCCTCAACTCTACCAAAGGCCTCTCCAAGGTCAGTGAAGCTGATATCGAGATTTGACTGAAATTCTATGCTTTGTCTGATGTTGATGATGGGCACCCTTAAGACTTGACCAGAAAGGTATTTGATTTTCTTGAATCTGGCCAGTTCTGGTTGGAGTTCGCATCCAAGCATCTTTTATTCTCTCCAAGATGACAAAGCTGAATATTTTGCTTGGCTTGGACAGAAGCGTAATTCCGCGCCAGCTTTCAGCAAGGCTTAAATCGTCCATCTTTAATGGTTTGACAAGGTAGTCTTTCTTCGAATCACCAGGTAGCGTTCCTTTCTTCAAAACTTTCTGAAACAGTGGTGTAAGAACATCTGGTGAGGTTTTCAGGATTCGTTTCCAGTGGTTCTGGAGGAATACCGTCTAGCCCTGCTGTCTTTCTAGCTGGCTTTCAGTAGATTTATCGCATTCAGGACTTCTCCTTATGTCCGACAGTTGTTATTCACTGACAGTCCTGTGACTGCTGGTGGTATTTCTGGACTAGTTCGACAGTCTTTTGAAGTGATTAGCCCATTGTTTCCTTTGCTTCTCCTCCTTGGTAATTAAGTGTCATTGGCTGTCTTCCACTGGTTTCACCTTTGTTGATCTCTTCCTGGAGAGTCCTGCCACTTGTATGATGGTATAACTTACTTGGATTACTACGGATATGTAATTTGAAGAGACTAACGGATTAGAAAGAGTTGAAGACATGAAAAGGTTGACTGCTTTTGATCATAGATGTCTACGATCTCTTCCTCACGTTAGGTGGTATAATAAGGTAAGTAATGTTGACGTTAGGCGTAGAGCGTTGGGCAAAGAGGGAAAATCAATCGACGAGGCTATAAAGTTACATAGATTGAGATGGCTAGGTCACGTGCTGCGCATACCTAACCATCGCCTCCCCCTCCCGACGGGCATTACTAGCTGATATAGGTGCAGGTTGGAAAAGAGTAAGTGGTGGCCAAACAAAAACATGGCCTCATCAATCCATGAAATCCTTGACAGTTAAACTGAATCAGTCAGGTAGGGAGATGCAGACTTCCAGGTTGGGGCCCGCCCTCGGGACTCTAAGAATCAATGGCTGGAGACAGTAGGTGACATGGCTCAAAATCCTCGTTGTCAATGGCTTACGCAGATGTATTCAGTCTCTGTAATCTTTCATATTCCCTTCTACCATTACTCATTCTGTTTCGCTCTTATACTTGTCAAAACTCTATTGATTCTCTTCACTCATCCATCTTCTTGTCTACCTTCGTGTGCTATTTGGAACGTGGTAACTCGAACTGCTGCACTTTGGTGCCAAGTTCTATGTTGAATCCAGACAGAGAGGCTGCCGTCGATACTCCATTGACAATCCTCCATATTTATCGGTAAGGATTAAATATCTGAAAAACCAGTGAAATTGATTTCCCTTAAACCTCAGCCTACGATCGATAAACGTTTCGTCCATAAACCAGATTCAGTGATCAGTACAAACACCTGTCTTCATTTGTGCAATAACAGAGACATTGATTAAAAGATTATATCGATCATCGACACATGAATAGCTTCTCTGTCTTATGAAAACATGTCAAATACGACTTTCACCTCTGTATGTATTGATGCTGTGTAGCTTTCCAAGACCTATTATGTAGATGAGGGTCTTTTCATCGAAAGTGTCTTCAAATTGATCACCTCTCATTTCTTTCTCTTCAATCAATCACCATTTTTATTTATTTTTTAAAATCTTTTTACAGCCTATACAACTTTCAGAGAATGCCTCATCATTTTATCGTACAATGCCAGAAGGTCTGCTGAATACCGCGACAACTGAAGGTAGAATGTCATGCTTCAATGAGGCAGCTGTTGGTGTTGGCAAATCAGTTACCCTGTCAACAGATATGATGAGAAACCCGATGGGTAAGTTCGCTTTCCCTCCACCCCCCCCCACTCCACGCATCATAAGTTATTTCTCCTTATCGTTATGCCTTCCTTGTTATACTGTGACTAGTGGAGTTACTGCTCCATGAAAGGAACAAGGTTTTTTATATTTTTGGGGTCTTAGAAACACAGAAAATCACCCGCTACAAGGTTCAAGGTAATGAGGGTGGTTTAGCTGAAGAGGCTTCAATGAGGACGATGTCTTCAACTCAAACTTCAGTGTAAAGTGAGCTTACAGAATTCTCCATGAGTTTATCAGCTCTCTCTGTCTCTCTCTCTCTTCGGCTAACCTTGTACACCACTCATTTTGTCTGGATATCTTCTCACTATTCAGTTCATCTGTATTGGTAGTGATTATTCTGTTGACCTGAAAGTTGACATTTTCGCCGTATGAAAACTCCAGAGCAATGAGCTTCACCAGACCGGCTGTGAAGACTAATACGCATCATGGAATATACACATTGGGTCATAGGAGTTAATAAAAAGACAATTGCAGCGAAGAAAATTTTCTTTTCGACGAAGTCATCATCTAGGCTGTACATTCGTGTATTTATATCAAATGGATAGGAAAGTTCCAGAATAATTTCTGGTTAGGGGTCAAATTAATAAAAAAATTACAATTAGGAATTAAAATGACATAACAAACAGGGGGGATGGGTAAAACTCGAACAAAGTAGCATTATAATAACTAAGAAGATTGACATTGTGCAATTGGGGGTTAGAAATGTAGAAATAACAAAATATACAGGATGTTTGGATAAAAAACTAATATGATGAATAATTGTTTATGCAATCAGGGAAGAAATATGTAGAAATAGTAAAATGACAAAATAAACAGGAAGAGTGGGTAAAAGGAGACCGAAAACGCGTATACAGTTCAGTGACAGAACATCTGGTCAACTCAGGACATTCAGCGCCTTTCGAAAAATCCTTCAAAGTAATATACAAAATTCAATCAAACCTATCAAAGGGAATCAAATCAAGACATCTGGGCATAGCTGAGGCGTTAGCTATCCAAAAGCTCAAACCCACACTTTGTATCCAAAAGAATTACGTCCAACCCCTCTCCCTACCATGGCCATCATAAACAGGTAAAATTTTTTTAGTAATGACAATCTCATCACCTTTCTTATCTAAACTTCCTGTTTATTCATGTTATTTTAAGTTTTCTTAAACCCTGTTTACACTACCATATTTTCATACTTTGTTCGAGTTTTACCCATCCCCCCTGTTTGTTATGTCATTTTAATTCCTAATTGTAATTTTTTATTAATTTGACCCCTAACCAGAAATTATTCTGGAACTTTCCTATCCATTTGATATAAATACATGAATGTACAGCCTAGATGATGACTTCGTCGAAAAGAAAATTTTCTTCGCTGCAATTGTCTTTTTAATACGCATCAATTACTTTAACATACTGGTGGCTCTGTATATCGCAAAATCCGAAGAAATTAGTAGTCACAGGTCAGTGGGCTTGCCTGGCAACCTGAAAAGCCTGAGTTTGACCCCCACCACTTCTCAGAAGTAGTAAAATAGAACAAAACATTTATTCATCACTCTCTATTTGACTTTCAGTGATTCCCCAACTGATGTCAAGCCATGAAATCTAACTTGAAGGAAATCAAGTCACTGCAGATGAACACCACTCAAAACTGATAACAGTGTTATGCAAATCAAATGGTGTTACAGGGTTCTGAAGTTTTAAATCCTGATCTCTATAGAGGATTATGTTAACCTGATTATAAGCGAAATTAAAAAGCAGCCAACCTTAACGGGTTGATCGCTGACGAAATCTCAGTACGGATGCAGAAGGCACATTTAGCATATGGTAGTTTAAGGTGTCTGTGGCGTATATGTGATATCCGGCTGGTTATCGATCAAAGGGCGTGTGTACTGCTCATCAGCCCACTCCGTCCTCCTTTATGGCAAGCTGTGAGACCTGGCCATTGAAAGTGGAAGACATAAAAAGGCCGGCTATCTGTCTTTGATCATAGGTATCTGTGTCCTATCTCCCCTATGAGATGGTATAATAGGGTGAGCAATATTGAGGTTAGGCGTCGGTCGAAGACTAGATGAACAGGGGAAATCAATAGACTAGTCTGTGGAGTTACATAGATTGAGATGGTTAGGACATGTGTTACGCATGCTGAGCCATCGCCTTCCTCGACAGTGGGCAGTGTTAGCTGACTGACATAGGGTTAGGTTGGAAAAGAGACAGCTAGTGATGGTCAAAACAAAACATGGCTTCATCGGTCAATGAAATCCATCACAGTTAGTTTTAGCCAGCCAGCCACGTAGGGAGGTGTAGGCTTCCTGGTTGGGATCCTCGGGACGGTAAAAACCAATGAAGACTGCAGACAAATGGTGATATGGCTCAAAGTAACCGTTCTGAATGGCTGGGGTAGATGCATCCACTCCTTGTGACTCATAATACCAAACAAAACTATATTGTTCTTCGTTATTACTATTCCTTTTGTCTCATATCTCTGTTTACTGTCTCTTTTTTACATTCCCTTTAGCTTTCTTCTCTCGCTTTGTGTGCTACATGGAGTAGAATGTGGCAACTCGAACTCCTGCACATATCGATGCAAAGTTCTATGTTGAAACCAGTCAGTCAATATCATTTTATATGTGATAACTTTAAACTGTAGTGACCGGAAACGAAACCACCTAATAAATTGATTAATGACCTTGAACAACCAATGAGGCGAGTCCGTAGTATATAGGCGGAATTATGGATGACGTACCTGAATTGCGTAGCAGATTCCATCCAAATCTAGTATTTAAGTACTGTTTAGATAACAGGTTCATTGGGTGGGAGAAGGTAGTACATTTACAGAGATACACAGCCTGTATTGATTGGTTTGTGTACAGAGATGCCCAGACTGCCATAGTAGAAAATCCGTTCGATTTTGTCAATCCTTTCGGTGGGACGCACACAAATTCCATCATTAGTTTGTGATTTAGAGCAGTGAATACATCAGGAAACATGATGATTCACAGTTATCTGGACGAATTTATGTATAAAAATTGGTTTGGCCTATGTATGCGGACTCCAGTGAGGAAGTGGGTTACCTTGTAACACATTCAGAAACGTTTCAAGGTGTAACTATTTTTAACACTACATTACTCTTCTATAAACACTACTTTAAACTAAGCGCTACCACGGAATCATGTGATTGGTCGATAGATATTTCTCAAGGTCTTTACTAGGCTGTTTCGTTTTGCGTCGCTATAATCTAGAGCCGCCATACAAATATATATATATATATATCCATGAGGTAGTTCCGGGTCGGATTCCTCATCGACAGTCTGTTAGACCCAGTGTAGGCGTTAGTCAATCCGGTGACGCTAGCGGTCTCAATTCATGTAAAACCATCAACTCTACTGAAAATTCAGAGATCAAAGCTTGTAGCTATTGTTAACGGGAAGAGACGACACCTGGTAACAGAATCTTTATTGGCAATCTGATATCTCTTTATGGGGAAATTAGGTACACCTTATCTGAAAATCGTCATATACTGTACAGATCTTCCGTGTTGTGCGCTACTTCCCCCCCCCTTCGTGGTGTCTTTCTTTGTCTTCTTTTCACTTCCTCTCTATGATGTCAAATCTATCTCTCCGCTTTCTGATATTTTTGTATTGATGAACGTCTCCCTATACACTACTGATAAACCCTGCCAGTAGCATATGTTGACGCAAAGAATGTATACATATAGACACTTTTGTTCATTTATATTAGATGATTGATTGGAGGTAATCGGTAGGAAGCCCTAACCGACTTAAATTTCTCACTTGTTGGCACTTTTCAGTAAGACGCATCTGCAACCTTGAGGGAAGTCACGTTCCACCGACTGAGATTGAAAGTTGCATCGCCCAGGTCTGCAGTCAGAGACGTTACCACTGATCTATTCCGGCTAGCGATTCACCTCCTGTTGGACAGTAATGCATGGTTTAATTGGACAGTAGATAGTAAGTAACTGGGGTCATATATCTAGTCCTTTGTTTGGTTCCTACTGAATTCTACGATCGTTTAAGTTTGCAGTGTGGCCACCATTCTAGTCTGGCCAACATGGAGGTCGATGGTGAGCCCAAATATCTTAGTGGTAAAGTTTCTGACTACGGCACTGCGTGACAAGGCTTAGAATCTCAGGTGGTGGGACATGAGTTCCTTCAAGGTTGCAGATACGCTTTGCTGACTGACTGGTCAGTGCCAACTAGCACATAACCTAGGTCCAAAGCTTCCTCGTGCCAATTGTCTCCAACCATCTACTATCGACAGTTCACAGTGCAGTGCATTGTGATAGTGAGCCACCTAGTGACACGGTGGCCACATTGTAAACTTAACTGATGTGACAGAATTTTCAGTCTGCACCAAACAAAAGACTAAAAACATTATACCAGTTACTGGTTACTGCCCAATCAAAGGACTTGCGTCCATTGTTAAGATGCTCTCATACTTGACAGATCCACAATCTCGCAATGATCTCATGTATAAGTGAAATGTAAAGATGTGTAAATTACCAGTATTATTGTATTATTAATATTATTGTTCCCTTGGGTTTTTTTAGTGGAACACAGGGCTTCAACTGCACATCTCCACTTGCTTCTGTCTTCTGCTGTTCTTTTCACTTGCGTCCATGTTATTCCATACTGTTTCATCTCCTCCTCACACGATCTCCTCCATGTCACCCTTGCACTGACGAACCACTCGCCGCTTCCCCTCCGGGTTCCACTCGAGCGTTGGCCTGATGCGCGAAGTCACCAAGCGGCCTCCTCAGAGAGTGTCCAATCCATCTCCACATTCTCCTGCATATTTGTTGAGCGATTGCCTCTTGTTTTGTTTGTTCCCATAGTTTCTTGTTTGTGATTCTTTCCGGCCATCTGATCTTCAGTATAGAACGAAGGTGGCAGTTGTTGATAAAGGTCTGCAACAGGCTGTTGGAGATATTCTTTGTGACCCGCCAAGTTTCTGA